TCACATATGCATTATTTCGGTTTTCATCCGAAACTGTGCATGTATGCTTTATTTCGGTTTTTGCCATATGCATTATTTCGGTTTTGAACTGAAATTGTGCATGCATGCATTATTTCGGTTTTTGTTTTATGCATTATTTCGGTTTTCTAACGAAAGTGTGCATATGGATAATTTCGTTTTTTCTAATATGAATTATTTACTTCTACTTAGTAAGGGTTTTAATCCCTAAGCGCGGCTGAAAGCCGCCTACGCAGAGAAAAGTTCTGCGCAAAAATACGTCCGCCCTTCTTTTCCGGCAATATAGAAAGGAGAATTCTACTTAGTAAGGGATATAATCCCTAAGCGCGGCCGAAGGCCGCCTACGCAGAGAGAAGTTCTGCGCAGAAATACTTCCGCCCTTCTTTTCCGGCAACACAGAAAGGAGAATTCTACTTAGTAAGGGTTATAATCCCTAAGCGCGGCCGAAGGCCGCCTACGCAGAAAAAAGTTCTGCGCAAAAATACTTCCGGCCCCCTTTTCCGGCAACACAGAAAGGAGAGTTCTACTTAGTAAGGGTTATAATCCCTAAGTGCGGCCGAAGGCCGCCTACGCAGAAAGAAGTTCTGCGCAAAAATACTTCCGGTCCCCTTTTCCGGCAACACAGAAAGGAGAATTCTACTTAGTAAGGGTTATAATCCCTAAGCGCGGCCGAAGGCCGCCTACGCAGAAAGAAGTTCTGCCCAAAAATACTTCCGGTCCCCTTTTCCGGCAACACAGAAAGGAGAATTCTACTTAGTAAGGGTTATAATCCCTAATCGCGGCCGAAGGCCGCCTACGCAGAAAGAAATTCTGCGCAAAAGTATTTCCGGCCCCCTTTTCCGGCAACACAGAAAGGAGAATTCTACTTAGTAAGGGTTATAATCCCCAAGCGCGGCCGAAGGCCGCCTACTCAGAAAGAAGTACGTTTGCACTTGCATGTATGCACTATTTCGGTTTTTGTCATATGCATTACTTCGGTTTTGAGTCGAAACTGTGCATGTATGCATTACTTCGGTTTTTGTCATATGCATTATTTCGGTTTTGAACCGAAACTGTGCATGTATGCATTACTTCGTCTTTCTCATATGCGTTATTTCGGTTTTCAAACGAAAGTGTGCATGTATGCATTATTTAGGGTTTTTCATATGCATTATTTCGGTTTTCAAACGAAAGAGTGCATATGCATAATTTCGGTTTTTCTAATATGCATTATTGCGGTTTTCAACCGAAACTGTGCATATATGCATTATTTCGGTTTTTTTTCATATGCATTATTTCGGTTTTCAACCGAAACTGTGCATATATGCATTATTTCGGTTTTTTTCGTATGTATTATTTCGGTTTTTTTCAAATGCATTATTTCGTATGCACAGTTTCCATATGCACAATTTCAGGGTGCCTCAATTGCCCCCCGCTGCATCCCTTTTTCGATAGTTCCGAACTAGTCCTAAATTCTATAGTTCCGAACCGGTGACAGGTAATAAGATCAACGGAAATAAGGTCAATTGACTTTATTTCCCACCCTGGTGCGAAATAAAGTCAATTGACATTATTACCTTTTTAAAAACGAAATAAAATCAATTGACGTTATTTCTCTTTCAAACATTAAATTTGCTTAGCTTCGCGGCGGCCCGCGTCAGCGCGCCACACCGCGCGCGTCGCGCTCGCGCTCGCGTCCCGCGTACCCAGCGCGACTGGCGCGCACACCACGTCACGCTACGCCGCGGCCCCCGCGGCCCCCCCGGCCCCCCCTTCCCGTCTCACGACGTCCTGTAACGCAGGTAGATTTATTTTTTGTATACGTTGAAATAAAATTTTTATATATTTTAAACATCGAGGGTTTATATTCAATAATACCCCCTATCTGCACACTTTTCACAAAGATGGGATTCTGATATAAAAATCCACCTAAGCTTTAACTGTCATCAGTGATATTAATGTTACCTCATATAACGACAGGT